AATCAAAAGATAGCATAAAGACAGTATGGGGCTGGGGATGTKGCTCAAGCAGTAGTGTGCTCGCCTGGCATGCTACCGCTTGAGCCACATCCACGTCCCCTGGCATGCTCGATCCTCAGCACCACATAAAAATAAAATAAAGATGTTGTGTCCACCGAAAAACTAAAAAAAAATATTAAAAAATTCTCTCTCTTAAAAAAAAAAGATAGCATAAAGATAGTAAAAAGTTTAAGCTATGACTGATGAGGGATTWGTTTCTGGGATGTGTGAAGAACTTCAATAACTAATAAGAACAAAAAGAAATCTATAGAGAAATAATCAAAAGTCTTGAATAGGCATTTCACAGAATAGGAAAACCAAATGGCCCATAAACATATGAAAAGATACTCAATCTCATTAATAACCAGGGCAATGCAAATTAAAACTATAATGATATACTATTTTACATACTTGAATGGCAAAAATTAAAACATCTGTAAACAACAAGTGTCATGAGTTTGTGGGCAATGGATATCATACCCTGTTGGTGAGAGTGTGAACTGGTGTGATCAGTTGGGAAACAATTTAGCATCATAATGTTGAAGAGGCATAGCAATTCTGCTCCTATGGAAAAACTCTGGCACATGTATATCAGGAAGTTTACAAGTAAGGAGTTATATAGGTTTATAGGAGTGTCCTGTATAAAAGGCAAAAACTGCAACCAACATAAATATCTGCCAAGGGTAGAYTGGATAAATAAATTGTATTATATTATTTCAATGGGACATAAACCATAAATGAAGATGCATGGTTGCTACTCCTACAAGTGTGAGTGAATTTCATAAACACAAAATTGGAAAAAAGGGCAGATTGCAGAAAATATATACATACATCTCTCATTTACATAAGGTTCAGAACCACACAAAACTGAATATATAAATTTGTAATGAATATATGTATATTTCTCATATGTGAAAATAATGAAGGCAGGCAAGAGAGTAATAAGTAGACTACTTTCAAGGGATGCTTATGGAAGAAGTAGGGCGTGGGAATACAAAGGAGGATCCAAAAGTATGGCTAATATTTTCTAGTGAACATTTCTTTTACATATATTGCATATGTTWTTTCATATGCCAATAGTATTTTACAATAAAACCTTTAAACAGATTTTATTAGAACCTAGAAGCACAATATGAGCTTTCCCATTTAACATCTTTTTATTTTCTTTTCCTTAGCTTTTTGGGGAGTTAGGGATGGGAGGCAATCTCTTCCCTGGTATAGCCCTTAAGAACAATGAATTGTTTGGGAGCATCTGATATTTGGTAACATTGTTCTGACAGCATCATTTAGGATATGGCCTAAATGCCCGACAGCGGACTGTTCTGTTGTGTTATTTTTAAACCTCATGATTTGGAGATGGCAGATTGTGTCAAGTTGTGTGGAATGTTCTATTGTGCTCTCACTGATGCTGCAGACATGAAAATTCTTATGGGTTTCTGTAAGGAACCAGCCTCTCTCCAGGTTTTTAGTGCTTTCTTCTGGGGTTGTGGGTTTCAGAATGCACAGTCTTATTGAATGTGATAGCCACCTTCCCTTGACATTCGGAGTGGCACCGGCTTAGGGAAAGCCCGTTGCTGGTACCACCACCTACAACTCTAGGCACCTCCCTCTCCCTGCCCTTGTGATCCCAGCACAGTCTCCCAGTCCTTATTTATTTATAGTAGGATTTCATCAAACCAGGGGCAGTTTTAACTCAGGAACGGTTTTAACAGTCCTGTTAGACCACTGACTAGGTTTACTGTGCTTTAAAACAACGATGAGCCCACACTTCTGCCCAAAACTTACTGGCAACGAAACCCAGATGACACACATCGTGAAAGACGACGGTCATTAAGATAGGCTGTTTGCTGGGTCAGCTTCCCCTACTCTTGTGCCCCATTCATGCTCTGTTAGTGGATTAACAGCTCATGTATTAACAGCCCATGACAACTGTGGGCCCACTGAGTCCTTGGAGCAGGTGAGTCACATGCTAATCCTTACTCATCCAGCAGATATTTTATCCCAGGCTTTATAATGCTGACCAGATCCAAAGTAACTAAAACTGGCTGTAACCAGAGACACACAAAGACTCAAGTGTCCACTGTTGGATGAGGCAAACTTCAAAATTAATCTTTGTATACCTTGGGCAATACACTRTTCATGTGTCTCCTTTGAATTTATGATATACTTTCTTCCTTTTGTGAGCTGATACTCTGTCCTTGACCTTTAGATCATGTGGAGTCAGGCTTCTCATCTAGCCAGAATSTTGATCTTGTTACTACCAAAGTTCTTAACAGCTTAAAAAAAAAATGAAAGCACACTCATCAATGCACATTTAAACTATTTATATGTAGAGTATCATTGTAATTAAATTGTTTTTGGATCTTAAAACTTTATGTTGKAAGTAACCACTGCTGGCATTGAAATACTATTTGAGCTGTCATTAGACTGATGAGGCGGCTGCAGGTGGCAGTAGCCACTGGATGCCCGCCATTTAGGATGGGAAGGTAGGTTCTGATTTCTCAAAGGTAGAGACTGCTTTGAATTGCTGTTTTTTGCTTTTCCAATTTCTAAAGGCTGATCTCACACTAAAAGCAGGTTTTATCTTACACACACAGTACACACATACACGTGTGCATGTACACACACACACACTTTAAAATTTTAGCTAGAGGGCTCAGACAAACAGATCAATTATATATTGGGGAAGGTGAAGAGGGTAGGGTGAAAGATGACATCATTGTTTCTGTGAATTCTGGAAAGGTGGTATTTTTCTATATACTGAGTGAGAAGAGTATAGCATCCACAGACATTATCTACAAATAATTAAAAATGCAGATGAGTTTAGAGCTGTGCATATAAATTTATCAGTGAGGGTGCAGAAGCAAGTACTCGYAGGAGTTTTTCCCTTCCTAACTCCTACCCATTTATTCCAGGTCTACATTCCGGCACTCTACTAATAAGGGCACCATGTCACCTCAAGCTCCTGCCCTTAGCCCTGCACCTTAAATAAGGGCTCCTCTCTGACCTTCCTCTAGCCATATCCTCTGTCTTGGAGATGTGTCCCCAACCTGGATCCTGTGCCCATCCCCCTCCTAGACTCTGCTCACAGCACCCCTGGACCCTGGACTTGCTTCTCTACATGTCTCCATCTCACCTCCGGAGCACTCTTCACTTCTGTTCTCAGTATGGCCTCCTGATGGCTTCCCATACCATAAGTGCCCTCTTGAGCCTGAGAGATGGATGTCTGGAGGATGGGGTTGGGGGAGCGCACATGGACAGGGTTGGGGACATGTGAGCTGGAGTGCCTACTGCATGAAGGTGACTCCTCAGCAGAGCAGATAAAGCCAGGGAGGGTAGAGAAGGGCCCTGGCTAGGCTGGGGTCTCCATTTGYATCCTTGCCCTGGGCTCTGTGAGCGGGGCCTTTCAACTCCACTCACTTGCTCTCATTTCAGTACTTTAGTTGTTTTACGATGGTCTGCCTCTTTCTTTCCATCTTCAGCCATCATTCTTGGTGTGTGGAACTCTCAGCTGAGTGTGGTCTCTGACAAGCCCAGTCACTTCTTCCCACCTCTGCTCCATAGCCTTCCCCATCCTGGTTCTTTGTTCTGGCTGTTCTCCATTCATCTCTTAAAAGGTGGAGTAGCGACTGTCTGCTATCCGTATAGAACACTGTGGGGACATGGCCCAGGGATGGAGTCAGGCTTCTGTAGAGTTCTACAGGTTCACCTTGGATGGGGAGCAGAGACCATGTCCTGGAGTGATATTACAGAGGGAGTGGAGAGATTTGGTCTCTGGATTTCCTCTACAGATAGGAAGTGTGTCCTGGAAAGCTGGGGGCTTCTAGAAGATGCCTGACCAGTCCACCAGCAGAGAATGTGGTGGAAACACTGGCTGCATGATGTAGGTGAGGCACACGGAGGACTTTGTCTTCTGGGAGTTCTCAAGATCTTTGGTCCAGAAAGAATTAATATCTTATAACCTTGTATTTACACGTTGTATTAACATATCAAAAGCAACTTTTCTAGGTCGATTATGTAATGTGATCCTAGTACAATCTGCCAAAATTGTACTTGGGAGAAATTTTACCACAAAGTGGCATAAAGTAACTAACCTCAGTGTTCATTTTGTTCTTCCTGCATTTGGCTGACTTCTCCTTCATCCGTCACGTCAAAGCTTAAGTGTCCCTTTTCAGATTGGTGTTTTCTGACTAACCAATCTCATAACCAATTGTCTATTATTCTTTACTTCACCAAATGTCGTTGAGTGGCTAGGAAGTGCCTGTATCCCTCAATCCATGTCCTTATGAAACTGAAAATTATTGAGAATTTGTTACTGCATCAGGCAGTGTGTTATGAATTATATTTACATTTTCTTATTTTAATCTTATGAGGTGTGTACTATTATCATCACCATTTTACAAATGAGAAAGCTGAGTTACAGAGAGGTTAAGTTACTGCCCAAAGTCAGTAAGGGCCAGATCTGGAGTTGATCCCAAGAAGTGTGATTCCAGAGTGTGGACATTTCCTGTTCTTTTCCTTCATTACATGTCTCAAATGACAATTGTATGTGTTACAGGGGGTTGAGGGAGACTTTTTTTAATTGTCATCTTGGAATGGCTGCCAATACCCAAAGGTGACACTAGACGTGCTTAGCTCTCATTCTAAGGAGAGCTCTTAACCAGTCTTCAACAATTGGTGTGGAACTGGTGTGAATATCACTGACTCACCCCCCCAGTCCCAGGTCTATTAGGAGAAGGCTGAGCTGGAGAAGAGGACTGGGTCCTCAGAGTCCTCAGTTTGTGGTAGGTACAGAATTCCTGGTGATAGAACTCACCCAGGGGTTGGGGAAGGACTGTTTTCCCCCCTCCTCCACACCCAGGAAGAGTTGGGGGCATGTTAAAGGAATCACTAACATATTTCTTGTCTGCCTGAACATCTTCCTGGGTAACAGTTCTGCTGTCTTTTCCATCTAGGGGGAAGAAAGAGTGGAGAAGGAAGGCAGGGCTGAGAGAAGCCCTGGTGATGGGCCTGGCTCTCTCCCAAGGCTTGCCACAGCAGGATGGCTGAATTTACATGGGTCAGAAGGACACTGAGGAAAGTGCTGGGCCTGCGATGACTTGCTGGCTCCCACCTAAGGCGTCCTGCTTCTGGATGAGGGGCTGTCCTGCAGCCAGGGTCTCTGAGGTACATATCAGGTAGCCAGAGCTGGGGGTGGGGAGGAATTGCTCAAGTCCCCTTCCCCTTCCTGCCCCCAGTGCAGAGCAAACCACAGCCAGAGAGCCAGGTAGGGAGGGGAATGCAGAGCAGACCCCACCCCAATCATCTAAGGCCCTCCAGCAGCAAGTCACTGGCAGAGGACTTTAGATAAGAAATGGGAATTTAAAGTGGTCTGGTCTAAATTTGAATAACTGAAAGTGATAGGAAGTAATGGAATGTGTCTGAGGTATTTTAAAAGGGAGGAAAAAGGGAAGGAGGTGATTTGACAGAGCACAGTAGAGGACAGTGTGAAGAGTCAAATCTATATCATGTTTATTGCCTGTGGATTTGAAACCTCTTGGTGAACTGGTCCACGTGTTTAACCATGCACTCATTTCCGGACCATCTTCCTAACGAGGTTGTAAACCCTATGAGGGCAGGACCTGTCTGTCTTATTTATTGCTCTGTCCATAGTGCCTAGTACAGAGTCCAGCAAAATAAGTGCTATTGAAGCAACAAGTAAGACACGGCATTAGGCTTGGGGAAATTCTAGTGGTTATTACTCCTGGTATTCCTGATGTCTGACTAGCCCTCATCCCAGGAGATGCTCTGGAATCCTAGATGCAAAAGGCCTCATAGCAAGAAGACCTCAGGGCAGGGGTTAAGAAGGTGCCCCATAGTCATGCAGAGTTTCCCTTTCCTTATCTATGAACCGCCTCAGTCATATCAACCTCTCAGGATTATTATTGAATTTAAGTGAGATCATGCATGTCTTTAAAGACCTTAGAGCAGTATGTGGGTCAGAGAAAATGTCTGATAGATGGTGGATTCTGATTATTAGGGAGGTGCAAATGACATTGGGGACTACATTTCAAGGCATATGTAGTTAAAAACCTAAATGTAAGACTCAAGACTGTAAAACCAGTAAAGGAAAACACAGGGGGAAAATGCTACAACATTGGTCTGGGAACTGATTTCTTGGATGTGACGCCAAAATAACAGGAAATAAAAGTAAAAATAGACAAATTGGATGGCATCAAATTAAAGAGCTTGTGCATAGCAAAGGAAACAATTAACAAAGTAAAGAGACAACCCACAGATTGGGAGAAAATAATTCGTGAATCATGTGTTGGATAAGGGACTTGAAAATATGTAAGGAACTCAAACTACTCAATAGCAAGAAAACAAATAACCCTATTTTTAAAATGTGCAAAGAACCTAAATAGACATTTACCAAAGGAAGATGTACAAATGGTCAACAGGTACATGAAAAGAAAGCTGAACATCATTAATCATCAGGGAAATGCTAATCAAAACCACAATGGGGACATCACTTTACACTCGTTAGAATGGTTATTATCAAAAAGATAAAAGGTGAAGTGTGGGTGAGAATGTGGAGAAAAGAGAACCTTCACACACTGTTGGTGGGAACATCAATGAGCTATTTTGGAAAATAGTAAGGAGGATCCTCAAAAAACTAAGAAGAATTACCATACATTCAAGCAAACCTACTTCCGGGTATTGCTGAGAGCCACAGCTGAGTCGGGATGGTACCAGAAGGAGTGGTTAAGAGGTGACGCCAGCGAGCCATTAAGATGATAATTAAATTAAGCTGTGATTAATTGCTGTGACTGGATGATCCTGGCTTGAAACAGGCTGTGTGTTCAATTGTATATAGACCTCTGCTGTCCGCCTCGGCGCCCTGCTACTTTGGAGTTCTCGCGGGGATTACTGGGGAGTTCGMGTTGGTTGGTGAAGTTCCGGTGGAGGGAGTTCCGGTGGAGGGAGTTCGGGGTGGTGTGTGGTGTTCCTGGAAGGGCCTCGTGGGTGAAGTTCGCGGGAGTTCGGAAATAAAGTTTGTTCCTGCTTGAGTGGCTCGTGATTTGTGCCCAGCCAGACTGCGGCAGGGTATAAACCCATATGAATTAAAAACCAGCAGGTTGAAGAAATATCTAAACTCTCATGTTTATTGCAGCACTATTCACAATAGCCAAGATATGAAAACAATCTAATATGGATAAAAAAACATGGCATATATACACAACGGAATGTTATTCAGCCATAAAAAAAAGGAAGGAAATTCTGTCATTTGTGACAATATGGAGGAATCTGGAAGACATGATGCTAAGTGAAATAAGCCAGGCACAGAAAGACAAACAGTGCATGATCTCTTTATATGTGAAATTGAAAAAAGTCGATCCCATGGAAGCAGAGAGTAGAATGGTGGTTAATGGAGGCTGAGGGAGGTGGAGGTGAATGGGGAAAGGAGAGATGTTGGTCAAGGTGTCCAGTTCTAGTTCCACAGGATGAAAAAGTTCCAGTGATCTTCTACACGCACAGTGACTATAATTAATAATAATATATATTTCAATATTGTTAAGAGAAATTTTAAATGATTTTACCACCAACAGATGGTAAGCATGTGAGGCGATTACCATTGTATATATAATTACCATCGTATATATAACTATATATACAATTACTATTTTTCAATTAAAAAAATTAAAAAGAAGATATACGTGACCCAAATCATAGGAGACTTTTTGAGTAGCACATGCTAAAGCTTGTAATTTTAAGGCTAAGAGCTTCAGGAGCTGGTGCGGAGAGCGAAATCCCCAGTGCTGTGTATGGGACTTCGAAGGAGGAGCCTATTGGACTTTTAAAGTGTGTGATGTATAAATAAGGAGGAGATTACATATGAGAAAGTGTTTTGCAAAGCACGAAGTGAGTAAAAGTGTGAGAATTTATGTATTTATAGCCAGAACATGCAAGAGTTAATAATGGGCCTCTGGCAGGGTCTTATTGTTTATTTATAGAAATTCCATGGGGAGTAGAGAAGGGAAGGAAGTAAGAATGTATTTCTGTGCAGGAGTGTGAATGGGATAGACAGAGAGAAGGTAAGGTGCTGGGGGAGATATTCAGGTTCAGCTTTTCTCAAGCTTCCACTGAACACCCGCTCCTGGCCATCTTCCTTATCCCCTCTTCACTCCTGTATCTTCCAAGCTGTCTTAGTGCCACCTTCTCCCGCCAGTTCTGTCTGGACACCCTGTCTGACCTTGAGCTATCACCCAGTCCTTCTGTATAGCCTCAGCAGGGAGAGCCAAGTCCTGGCAGAGGTCTCGCTGAAAGTGACTCACTGTGAAAGCTGGGCTTGTTCTCTTCAAAGGGCGAAGCTGGCTCACGACAGGGATGGGAGCGTTCCCTAGCCCAGCCCTATTCCTTCACAAGTTCTCTTTGGAAACTACTCTTACCCTTCCCAGGATGACCTTCATCCTTAATGAAATGGAGAAACAGAATGTCAGGACTTGCTTCCTTTCCAAAGAAAAGAGGAGCACACCGAAGTGCATTTTAAATGCTCTCTGGCAAGCCTGGAGTGGCGGGGAGGGGAGGAGCTGACTTGTCTTTTCTTCGGTAGGTATCTGGGAACTTGGCSCACATCTGCTTTCTCTTATGAAACGTGAAGGGCAACGCGTCATTCTGGGAGAGTCACTGCAATTCCTCCAAACGTAAACCTTGCCCCTCTTTGGGTCTTCATGTGCAGGGTCAGTTGTGTCCATTGAGCATGTTTGTATTTAGAGGGAAGGAAGTTAGGCAGGAGCCACCAAAGAAGTTTGAGATAAGACCCCTGCCCTATTCCAGGGCTTATGCCCAGGACTGTAGAGAGCAAAGGAAATGCTTAAAACACTGGGAACCATAAGGAATTGAATGAAAGGGTTCTTACGGGGTGGGTGGCTGAAAATGGCTTCTTGAGTGGAGACWTGAAAGACGGAATCTGCACAGATGGAAAAGAAAAGAGGTGGTGTTCTAGAAGGGCCCAGAGCATGGGAAGGGCGTGAAGTGGCAATAATTGTGGTGTGGTGGGAAAGCAGAGAGATAAGCATGGGTGGCCAGAAGGGCTGGAGGCTGCAGTGAGGCTGAGATATGGCCAGGTGAGGGAAGTTGAAGAAAGTGGTCTTTCACTGTCTCTGTAAAGGGAAACACTCTGAAGTGTGTCTCTAYGTGGAAGCAATCAGTGAGAGCAGAGGATTAGAAGGTTTGGCCAGGATGGCTGAGGGAGAGATGGGGCTCAGAAGGTCAGTTCTGGAGTCATGGTGGTGAAGTAGCTGAGAAGAGATTGACACTTGGGCCAGGGATGTGCAGTGGGTCTGGCTGGATGTGAGGGGAGCAAGGCAGCCCCAGCTCTTCTGCAATAGCTCTTTTGGGGACTTAGTATGGAATGAGAAGAGAATATTGGCTGGGCTGGTTTGGCCATTGTTGTCCAGTTAATGCAAAGTGGCTTGCTACTTGTGAGAATGACCCAGAGGATAGTGATGGGTGAAATATGCTTTTGGTGCCTCCTAATCAACTTGAAGGTGTAGCATCTGTGGCTGTTTGCTTCTGGTTGTTTGTTTTATATAGTAAATGGTGATGGCCRAGAACTGAAGGTCAGCGCACATGCCATGATTTTGATTTGGTTCGGTGAGTGAGATTTTGATTCTTCATGGGAATCCAATTTGCAGAAATTTTAATTGCCAACTCTTTCATTAGAAAGACTCATGTGTTTACTTTTTGTTTTTCAGAGCATGCAACTGAACAATGATGACTTCTGAGCACTCGAAATYGTGAATGAGGAACTTGCACTAAGCTTTAGCTATTATAAGGAGACATCTTCCTTAAGAATTTCCTAACCAGAGTCTAATTACTTTAAAATATCTCCTTTGTCTTAGTTCACTGAACAGTGGAGGGTTAGAAAGTGTTGGTGTGTGTCAAAAATCAGCATGTGTTTGGTGTATTTATGTGTGCGTGTATGTGTGTAATGGTGGTGGTGGTCACACTAGCAACAGTGAAATGAAATAATTAATAATCAGAGAGAAAAGGACAAGATAAAAGCCAAATAACTCATGAGGGCATTTCTGCATGGCATAATCACTGAGTTTCACAGTGATCACCTTAAGTTTTGATGAGAAACTTATGTTATTTTCTAGATATTCTGTTAAGGAGACTAGGAA